ATTTGACGTTGATCTTGTTCCACCGTCCCCAGTTGTCGTTCTTTGATCCGACAACCCAGGAGGCTCAGTGGAAGCATCACATGATGATCTGCTACAATGCCGCTCGTGCTCTCTGCCGACTGCAAGAAGCTGTCCTCAATTCGTTTGGAACCATGGGGCTACAGTGCATGCAGCGCGGCTTCAGTTTTACTGTCTACGCCGGGCTCTCGTGCATTGTGCTTCATCTAGTAAGCCGCGCTCAGTTTCTTTGCCCCCCTCTTTTCCTCTGCGCAAGGACGTGATAGAGAAGCCAAACGAAAATGTGTTTTCTGCCTTTTATCTGATCAGGTCTAACTCTCGGAATCAGGTAGCAATCGTCTCTCCAGATCCCGATCTCCATACCGATGCGCGGCAGTTCTTCACTCGCCACATGAGGATCATGGAAAAGGTGATGGAGGCGTGGCCAATGCCAGAACTGCAGAGACAAATCGACGCCGTCAGGGAGGCTTTCTCAGCTGACGTTAGGAAGCCCTTTGCCCTGAAGCCGTCTTTCCCATACGGAAGCCCTCATCCATCGCATAGTGCCAGCCCTCCCGGATACCGTGGTGTCCAGCGCGCTGGTTCCATGGACCAGGCACTGGATTCGAGCGGCGGTCAAACAGTCAGTTACCTAAGCCATCCCATCTCACCTCCAATCTCCAATGGCCCTCTGGACAGCAAGAGTGACTCCCCATCTGCACAGTCGCTCGTCATGATGCCACAGGCTGTCGGGCCCGGCATCTCACCGAACATGGCTCTACCAGAGCAGCCAGCCTGGAACCCGGCGAAGATATTTGAGTAGGTCTCTTCCAGCGAAGTTGTTGATTTTTTCTTTTTTTGTTTTCCTTTCTCTTTCGAGTTCATTCGCCGAGTTCATTCGCCTTTACGTCGCCCCAGTCTTACACTTACACCACCTTGATTCTCATATATCCTCTTCCACTCCTCGCATGTACTTTGCCTTACAATGTGAATCCGCGGATCGATATACTGACATGACGACTAGACAATGGAACACCACATTTGGTACGCCCGCCCAGTCCGATCCCAATCCTGTCTCCCCGGCCAGCTCGCTCAACATGTCCTCGTCCTCAGGTGCACCCGAGGTCCCTACAATTGATGACGTTCATGCCGTAAATTCCTCGTTGTCGGCCGGCTCACAACACAGCATTCCGCCACATCAATACGCGGCTGCGCCTGTGCCAACTTTTATCACGCCCGCGATGTGGCAGCAGTCTGTCGCCAGCGTGTACGAAGGCGGCCTGAAGCGCTCGTGGGATTATGACGGAACCACGCCGGCAATGAAACGTCGTTAGCGAGCTTTCCCTGAGAACATGCCTCATGGCTTCTGTTTCCTCACGGCTCTCGATTATATATTGGTCTGGCTGCGATCTCTTTCCGAGGGGCGACCAACGACGTCCTACGATTGGATGATCTATTTGGCCCACGCACGGTCGTGATGCCAGCCGCAGCATTGCATTATACGTTGCATATGATACCTCTCCTCCTGTTTTGCGGTCATGTTTTTTCTCAGCTTCTTGCACTCCATGTTTCGTTCGTGGCCATGTTTCTCCTCTTATGCATATGCTGGACGAAGACGATATGTCTATTTAATTTCTACTTGGTCTCCATATAAGGCATCACCATCCTGTTTATGCTGCTCTGCGGATGCGATTTTCTTTGTACGATCAGGGAGGGCTTCGGCAGCGAGGCCTGCACGTGAACATAAAAAGAAAGATGGGAAAAGGGGGAGAATATCTAGAGAGGCGGCGCCCCGGCACAACAAAAGCAATATCGGTAACCAGTTGACGCCCTGGGGGCTAACCTGGCAAAAGAACGTTAATGAATATACGATGGACGGGATTGGTGGCGTTGAGGTTCGTTCGCATCTTGTCTCAGATGTCGGTGCATTGTTAGTTCGAGTTGGAACACTCGGTTGATGGGAAAATAGGGGCTGGATTGTGTGGTTGACATATCACGGTGTTTACGGTGATAGTGGATATTGGGATGTTCTCTGCCCACAAAAACAAAATTTAACGGTTACTCTTGGTTGCGATATCGTCTACAGGCATCACACCTCTGCTCCTCAGTGAATAAGGTAGTATAGGATTGGGCTTCTGGGGGATACCATGGTCAAGGTCCGGAGATTCGGGATCCATAGTATGCCTAGTAGGCAGGTAAGCTGCCGCGCGCTTGTACAGCCCTGTCCAGGTGTTTTGGAATTGTACTCGTATCAAGCTCAGGAGCAGGATTCGGCGAGTAGCAATTCCGGAATTACTGCGATTGGTACGAAGTAATAGTTACTTCTGTCGACAACTTGGCATGTTTGTTCTCGTGTGGGGTGTAACAGTGCCCTGGGCTGAGTGTGGGAATTGCGACGAGATAAAGCCGAACCCAGCCTCAGCTTGCGGGCGAGCGGAAGAGTGTGGAATGATGTGTCCTTTTTGAGGGAATACGATGTGTATTACTACCTAGGTATGTAAGTCAAGACAAAGAGAATGAGCGTGGTGACAGAGAAGGAAAGATGCGACACTTGTAGAAAGTAACAGGTAGAAGAAGAAACCTGGAGGTTAGAGCTGAAACGTGTTACAGGATGTGTTGCTGATAGATTGGGGCGGTAGTACGGGGTTTGAAAAAGGCGGGACGGGGCGGGCGTGTTTCGGGAGGAGGGCCGTTTCGGTGCCGGATAGTCAGTAGTACCTAGGTATAGATGGAGCCGAGGTCTGACGAGTGGGTTGATACGCTGAGGGTTATGTATCAATATTGCCTGTATGGGTGTTTCTATGGGGTTGCGAGAGTTGCATGATGAGAGGAGTGAGGAGTAAGGAGTGTTATGGCAATTTACATGGCTGAGGTAGGTACATATTCGTAAGAACGAGATGAGTGTTGGTGGTAAGGAAGGATGGAGTGAGATTGATAATGGAGGACTTGCTTGTGTGGGCGTGGGCGGCGCTAGAATGGGGACGGCTTTTCTGGGGAAGTTCTTCTCCTAGGTAAGGTAGGTAATATTAGGCTACCTTACGTTGTAGAGTAGTACCTTTAGTTGAGCCTCTTTGTGGATGAGATGACGAGTATGTGGCTAAATGGAGTGTCTCCATGGAGCAAAGATACCTCAAGGCATTTACTACTACTACGTTGATGTTGCGCGGGTGACTCAGTTTGGAGAAGATGTGTCGGTATTGCAGCTTTGTACTGTCGTTTCATGAAAGTGCTGCATAGGAGGTAGGTAGGTAGGTACTTGTCTTTGATTAACAGTCCCAGGCTCATGAATCATTGGCGATAGGCGCTCCAATGGCATGTCGAACATTGAGACATGTCCAACAACAACAACAATTATAGTATTCCGTATTGCTGCAGTTGTGTTGGTGTAGATGGTACATGGGCCCAGGCCCCATATCCCGGCCGGGTTCCGATCCCATGAACGAGTAGACATGTATGTACAATCACCGCAACACTGCAGCCCTCCATTGCGTACAAGTACCCAAGGCCAGATGGGAGAAGATGTGGAGTTCTTTTGCGGCGAAAGTTGCAGGTTCAAGTTCGAGCTGGGCTAATTAGGCTATTTTCTAGGCGTGATTCTACTCGGCTTCCGTAGGCCTTGCTGCAAGGTTCGATGCTACGTGGGACATTTCGAAAGGGGAGGGGGGGGAAGAGGGCGTGTGTCTTGGCATAGAGGGGGAGGGGTGATGAGGGGGAGGTTCTTGGGGTCTTTGACCATGTGGGAATGGAATCTAGTTGTTGTTGGTAAGGCAGAGGGTGGAGGTGCGTTATGAATCGCACGCAACTAGTATAGGAGATGAAGAAGTTGTTACATGTACGACTGCCTATGAGATCTGATGAGGTGAGTTTGTGGACGTTACGTGGAAAGTTGCTGCAGTGGTTGGTTCTTGGGCACTTTGTTCTCATCCGTCTGATACATGATTTATTTACCCCCTTTTCCATCAACTGATAATGTCCCCTTTCACTTGAGGTACAAGCAGGATACCTACCTAGGTAGTAGTAACCCATAATACATGTACTGTAGAGGTGAGAGTAACGCTAAGTGTATGTATGTACGGCATATGCATGCATATGCGTGATAATACTAGCTGCAAGAAGAGAAGGGGTCAGGAGCCAATTACTCTAGGATTGGATGGATCGAATGCATTGTTGGCCTGGATAGGCAAGGTCAGGAAGGCAGGGATGGAGGGCAGAAATCGAAATGCCGAGGTCTGAGTGTTGGCTCTTGGGATCTGATCTAGTATGAGAGAGAGTTGGTCGGAGGTAGGGGGGGAAAAAGCATGTGAGAGGGACTGGGGTGGGAGAGCAGGGTGGTGTGATTCGGACGAGGCTCTGCGATAATTTTGCCCTGTTTCATTCGATTTACTGTTTTGGGGCGGGTTTGAGGTGAGCGGTTCGGTGAGGATGAGGGAGTGTGTCTAAGGTGAAGTCAGGTGAAGATGCCTTCGGTTTGGCCTGGTGGGAAGTGATAATCGAGAAGCTCTCCAGAAGCCTCTGATTTACTTATAGCCGATGGCGATGACTTTTCGCTTACAGTATATACAGACATGCGTCGCGCGACTTCTAACTAGCTGATAGTTGTCGATCCAGCCGTCACAGTCAAGCCACGACTTCCACTCCACTGCGGTATTACAAGCCGATATGGCTCGTCCCGAAGGCTTCTGGAACGCCTCCAATCCGATCCCACAAGGCAATTCATTGTTCATGCTAGGCGGACGCTATCTCTAGCAACGCGATGGCCCGCTCGCGATACAATGGAGAAGCAAGCATGCGGCTCGGGTCACATCCCGTCGCTGGGAAACGGGCATGTTGCTTGTTTTGATTCTAGCGTTGGCTTGACTTGTGGATATTATGCGAATCCCTCGATGTGCAAATTGTTCATGTGCGTGCATGTAGTAATCAGAGTAGCTCTGTTGATGCATGATAGCGACCCTGCGTGAGGCTTTGCCTGAGTCTTGCAGGTGTTGAGTAGGCTATTGCACATGGAGAAACACTTGGGATGGCATTATTATCAAGCATAAACTAGGTAGGTATGGATGATTTTCGACATACCTCGTCACCGACATCAAGAGCAGTCAAGACGACTTGGCCGCCGCCACCTCTGCTGCCCTCTTCTCAATCTTGTCCTTCACGGCATCCCATATCCACGCCTCAGTCAAATCCCTAATCTTGGTTCCTTTGGCCTTCTTCTTCTGCTTCTTGTCCGTCCTCACCTCCTGCACGCCAAACTTGGTCAACGCTCGCAAGTTGTACCACCTGCGCGTCTCGTTCTCCGCTATCGCACCCTCGGCATCCCGCACGTAATTGACGATTCCGAACCGTCGCTTTGCGGGACGCAGGTGTCCCAGCTGCATGGTGCTGTAGCGGGGTTTCGCAATGGCGCTCATGGTCGTGAGGGTGAGCTCGGTGGAAGGGGGGAGGGCGCCGTGGATGAAGCGCTCGAGGGCTGGGCGGCTGGTGCGCGCGGCTGGGGGGAGGTGAATGTAGATCTGGGTGGTGAAGGGTGACGTTGTGTATGCGACAAAGAAGAGAGGGATGAGTCCGCAGAGGGCGACTAGACTGGTTAGCTGTTGTTGTCAAGGTATAGCGGGAGAAGCAGAAAGAATATGAGGAGAGTGGAAAGGAAAAATGAGATGCATATGAATGAGACACGAAAACTGTGAGTATAGCCATGGCGACAGTCAATGACGTGTCTCGTCTTTCTCATAAAGAAGGTCGACGGCATTGGACTGGTATCCGTCTACCACATATCATCCCCCATGGCCAAGGAGCCCCTACAAAGAGAGGGGATAGATTCGAGAGACTTGAGCGGAACAAACAAACTCACCTCCTATGATCTCCCACTCTGACTTCTCGGCCTTGATATAGCCCGGGACAACGATAAACGTAAAGAAGGCCCCCAGAAACAGCGTCGTCACCTTGACCATGGCCAAGAAGGTGATCCGCCCCGTGCCAGCATGGTATATGAGTAATCTCTCGGCGATGTCTGAATCATCATTCATGCTTAGCTCTCCATTCGTCCACGAACATAAAAGGGCACTATCCATCCTCTTTCTGTGCCTCCTCACCGTATTTTTTCGATCCGGCATTAGCAGCCGCAGCTCTGGCCTGCTGCTTTGCTTGCTCGGCTGCTGAGAGGTTAGGCTTGGATACGGGCTTCTTGGATGATTGGGCGTAGCATCGCTGGAGGCATCTGCTCTCGAAGTTTCGCGGGTGGCGGATTCGTGTGAGATGCTGCAGATTGATGAGGCGGGGAGGTGATGATGAATTGAGAATTTTGCTAAACGGCCTTTGGCCACATAGTCTGAGCGAGAACATGACTATTTGCGTGGGATCGAATCCCAGGAGTAGAATCAGTTTGAGCTGGTATACGGGGAGTGAGACGAGTTGAATACCGCTTGACGTTGGCCTGAGATGAAATTGTGAGCCAAAAGGCCGATTTGGGTTGGTCCACACTCGCGATAACGATAGTAGCTGATACTGTACTGAACAGCCAGCCATCCATACACACTACAAGCAAAACTCCCACTTACACCACGCGAGTCACAGCTTGAAAGTAATGCATTTAGGAAATTGTTAAAGCAACGTGATCAATCTTGTTCTTCATTGGAACCATCCTAGCGCATTTAAGCAATGTTCTTGGTGAAAAACTCCTTCCACTGGTCAACAGTCCAGCCCGAGCTCGTGTCCTGAACAACGCCGTCGAAAACAACCGTCGGGGTAACGTGGACGCCCACCAGGCGGTTCATCTTGGTGATGACCTTGAGGTCGTTGGTGACGGCATTGCCAATGTTCAGAGATCCATCGTCGCCGGCCTTGTCCGGAATCTCGAGCAGCTTGTAGACCTCCTCCTCGTTGACGCCCACCTTTGCAGCCACCTTTGCCAAGCGGCGGTACGTCTGGTTGCGAGTCTCGTTGACGACGCTGACGTCGAAGAAGTCCTTCTGCGCCGCAAAGAGCTCGCCGCTAAAGGCCCAGAACTTGTCAGGGGCCAGGCGCAGGACCGCGAGGCCCGCCTCGTGCATCAGCGTCGACGACGGGTGCCACGGCTGTACCTGCTGCCGGAAGACGACGGTGAGGTTGTCGGCCCAGACGGGCTTCTCGCGGATGGCCGGGAAGACCTTGGTGGTAAGTGTGTTGAAGATGCGCGCGGAAAAGGGGCAGCAGTAGTCGACAAAGAGCTCAAAGGTGTGAGTCGCGCCAGGCACCGAGGAAGCTGACAGTGACGGCCGAGCCGAGGAGAAGACGAGCTTGTGGCCGGCGAACTTGGGAGGGACAGCCATTGTTAATTGTTTGGTCGTTGGTCTCAAAGAGAAGAAATTCTGCAGTCAAAGAGGCCTTTGGCAATGATTGGAAAGGTGAAGGTGGTTGAATTCTGTAGAGTTCTGGCGGAGTTGTGAGGACACTACCAAGCCAAAATCATCAAGGTGCAGCATGATGCAATCGCATTGCCGTAAGCAAGAGCTACCCCTCAACCCCTCCATCTCACCTGCCTCGCATAATACCTGCCACTCTTTGGCCAAATAAATCTACCTGATTGCCTTTATTTGTCAACAAGGAAGCTTCAGCTCACGGTAGCGGGGCAACAGACTACTTTACAAAAAAAGAAGCTCCAATGACGTGATACCGCGATTGCATCATGATACAGCTAGCAAGACAGGAAGTCACGACCTTTACACACCGTGACCATGTTAATCTCCCACATACTTACCTCAGGTAGCCTCGAGGCCTCTCTCACGGAGTCAATCAAAACCTCACATCATCAGGCTAAAGAGCCAGATACGATTGCCGACAATTCACGGAAGACGACCAAGGGCAGCTCATTTGTCATGTACAGAGTCAATTCCAGATATAGACATCATCCATCCAAAGGTATCTTACACCGCTCCTGCGAGGGCTCCAGGCTCTCTCGCAACCTTCGAACATGACTGCTTGATCCGTTCCAGAGCCATCAAAAAAAATCTATGTGAGCCAAACAAAAAAAGCCTAACAAAGGAAAGACAAGGGGAAATGACAAGAGAAACCAAAGCCAAAGCAGCCATCCCAACATGATACATGATTTGTCGTTCTCGTTGACGCAGCTTCTCGTGCAGCACCTTTCCGACACTCCCTCCTCTACACTCTCCTGAGTCTCACTGTGATTTCGTTGGCGCATCGCTCAAAGCCAATGCCGAACCCGTCTTCAGTCCTCGGCTCTGGATAATCCTCGCCCTCCCGAGGGTTTTCGATGTCAAAGTCGCGAAGCATGTTTGCTACAACAAACAGAATCGTCTCGAAGCCAAGCTTCCTCCCAGGGCACAAGTTTCCGGCTACGCCAAAGACTCGCAGCTTTCGAACCATGGAGGCCGAGAGACGACCAGAATCGGTCAAGAACTTGTCAGGAGAAAAGATGCTGGCGTCGGAGCCCCATGTGGTTGTGTCTCTGTTGAACGAAGACATGGCGAGGTAAATGAGATCTCCCGACTTAAGGTGGATTGGTTGTGAGTTTGGCACCGCAACGTCGAAATCTGTTTTTGCCAGGCGTGGAATCGCTGTCATGTGCAGTCTCAATGTCTCATACAAGCAGGCTGCCAAGAAGGGAAACGACTCTCGGATGCGGGCAACATCAATGTTGCCTTCTGCGTCGAGGGCGTTGGGATCACGCGCTTCCTTGGCCACTCTGTCAAACAGATCCGGACGCATCAGGAGATGACGGATCATCCAGACGGCCATACTGCTTGGTGTAACTAGAAGTCCTAGTGAGGTAAGAAGCTCAACATTGAAGTAGTCCTTGTTGGACTCCCAATTTGGGTCGGACAGGACGACGGCGTTGATCCGATGGGCGATTTGGCGGAGCCTGGATTCTCTGTTCTTGACGTGGAAGGACCTCAGTCTGTCAACGATGAAAGCTCTGGCCTTGTGGGCTGCTTGGGCAGTGTATCTCGAAAACGGCCTCAGAAGGGTCATTTGCGAACCGCTGATTTCCCTGTTATGCCGAGCCGATTAGCACGAAGTCGATTTTGGAGAGCGGATAGGGAGACTGGACTAACATGAACTGTGTCTGAAACTCTTCGTCAACAACCCACGGGCTCTCCGGGCCCCAGAGGGCGCTTGCCACCGACGAGCTAGTCAGCTTGAACAGCCAAGGCCCAAGCTCAGTCTCCTGAACGTCAGGCTGGCTCCGCAGCTTCTGGCTTGCAGTGGCAGACACTTGCGCAAGGAGAGCCCTGACGTTGCTCGCCGAGGAGAACTCGCCGACGTGGACGGGACGAGGATCATATGAACCGATTGCCTTGATGGTTTCATCACTCAAGCCAAACACGCGGCGGCCAATGAGGAACATGACGTTGGCAAGACTTGTCTCCGATGTATGCCTGGAGAGTGTGCTTTCCATAGAAGGGTCTGTGACGAGAACCTTTCTTGGAAAGATGTTGATCGAAAGTGTTGGCTTGGCACAGTTGATGATGGCATTGTAGATGAGGGAGTAGAGTCTGTATCTCATCCGGGACAGGATCTTGACAAGACGGACAGAGAGGGGCCTTCTCTCCAGCCTCTTGTGGCCGCGGTATGTGTGAACGAGGGGAGCTATGAGCAGCAAGAGCAAAAAGATGTGGTAAGGGAAAGGGAAAGGAGCACCATCTCCGGCTAGGACGGACTCACCCGCGGCGGGGTGAGATGAGGAAGAAGGGATGACTCCCACTTGTTGCATATTGGAAGCCCTGAAACCAATATCCAATGTCTTTTGTGTGAGTTCGTGTAAGTGTAGTGAAATGTGTACTTGATAGTTGTCTGATGAGGAGAATGATCATGAGGAGCCCACGATCGGAGTGGCAAGACAGCTACATATTTATCTACACAACGAGAAAGACAACAGCTTGCCTAGGCAGATGCATCCATGGCCAAACTAGCTTCAAAAGGAACCGTCCTGAGAAAAATCGTCCCAGCCAGTGAGGCTATGGAGACCCAGAGAGGCAGCGGGAAGCAGCCCTGAGGCCACCGTCAGACTGTCTGGGTGGAATCCTGTCATTGCCCGAAGCTGAATTGCGCCTCTCCACGTTTCCGACGGTTCCCTCAGGCGAGCCCCTCCTTCGGCCATCACTTCTCGCGGAAGACAAGATGCCTAACTTGATGACCTCTTTCTTCGTCTTTCTGAGGCATCATGGCAGATACGAACAAGGGGGGGGGCAGAAGGGGGGGGGGGCCGTTGCCAAGGCCAGGTGAGAGGACCCCTGGCGAGACGAAGATCAGGGCTATGTAAGTAAGTGCCTCTTTGCAAGTAATACTCGGTAGCTGAAAAAGAGAGTGGGTGAGTGACTGCACTTCCCACCCTCCCAATATAGCCTTGTTGGTGACAATCCGATGGGCAAGGGGGGAAACAGAATACAAAAGAGGACGAACCATAGTGGTGGTGGGGGAGAGGGGGGGCGTGTGTTTTCTCCCCTGTCCTTGACCTGAGAGTCTTCTGTGTGCAGAGAAAAAGGGCACCGTGAGGCTTGCTCATTGGTAGGACTTCTGGCGAGGATAAGACAGACAGGGCTGATGGGGAGGAGGAGGGAGAGGGGGGGCGTATGTGCGTGATGGTGCATGGGGGGGAGGGATCCGATGATCTGGATGACTCGATTGGCCGCCTTGCGTTTGATTGGCTTTGTTCATCTTTTTCCTTTTATCCGTTTCTTCCCTTCTTTTTGACTTGTGAGGCTTACCTACACTTCCCTTGTCAAGCCTCATTCTTTAGTCTACCTATCCCGGCTATGAGAGCATTTGGTGGTGATGACGAGTGATGCCTGCTGGGAGGGCTATTGCCAGAAGAGGAAATGGGCCGCGGGCACCTTCACCGAGGGGTGTCCGATTTGGGGTCTGTTTTTTTCCCTCTTCTTCTTCAAACTTCTGATGTCGTTGCTATACTTTGTCATTGTCGTAATTCTGTCATTTGCCTCGAGTATAGTGTATGCATGCATGTTGAATTCCGAATGCAGTAACGATATGCAGGATACACGGCTGGCGGTTTATTCTGGGAAACACAGTCCAGGGAGAATTGCACCTCCATCGTTTCTAGACGGTTGGCTGGAACCGTTGACGAACGCTCACCCAGCGACGACGAGTGGGCGCGGATCGCTGCTCGTACGACCCTTCTTTCTATCATACCTGGTGCTGTCGACTTACCGCCTTTGGGGGGGGGGGGGGGGGGGGGGGGGGGAGTCATCGAAAAAGGGTCATCATCATTGTCACTCGTTACACGCTCGGGAAGTTCTAGAATGTCTCGCCCTGTTGCCATAAAAAGAAAGCTCTCGGGGCCGAGAGCCGTGCCTGTCTTCCCGCCGTTTTTTTTTTTTTTTTTTTTTTTTTTTCCCCCTTCTAAAAGTTTTATTTTGGGGTGTGTATGTCTCAGTTGATCTTATGCCTCGTCTTGGCCTAAGCCCAGCCAGCTCTCATGCTGTGCTAAGGTGGACAAAAGATGACGCTGTGAGCGATGCTTTGTTACAAGCTGACGGTGCTAGCATCCTCATTCCGGTACGAATTCACGGTGATTCCCAGGACCTTAGTAGACAGGGAAAGAGGTGTGCTTCGTATAGCAGGCATTGGCCACTGGCTTTCCCTCCGGTGGTGTAACTAGCCGTCGCAATTGAAGGTGCACGCTCCTCTCTTGAGCTTGACACTGTCCAATCAAGGACTCAATGGCACCTACTACTACTAGGTATCTGTAGACAACCGCCACAGCTCGGTTGCTGGCTCGCCGCGTATCAAAGAGAAAACGGATACATGACAGAGTCAGTTTGGTGTTGTGGTAACCCCCGGAATCAGCCATCCGCACACCATATCGTTTCGACCTGGTGCAACTCAGACGACAAGGACCAAGAGTGAAGCTGTGTGTCACTCACTCCCCCACCATGTAGCGTCATCACAATCATCAGCCGCTTTGAATGTTTCTCACCCGGTCTCAGCCCCAATGGCAGGGACCTGTTCGCACTTGTACAGGTCTTCTGAGCCGTCCTCGTGTCGTGGTGCCCCTCTGTGGGGGAAAGATGTAAAAAGCATATTCTTCTTATCAGCGTGAGTACATACATGCCTTGTTGAGCTTTGTTCCTTGGCCTCTCATTGACTGGTATCTACCTACCTAGTCTAGTCCATTTTGCATTGGCGCAGGACTCGTGAGCAATACTCATCACACCGAACTTCAGGTAGTAGGACCTTCTCGAGAATGAGAAGTACAACCGGCTGCGCAGAGCTCAAGCCAGACGCTGCCGGGAATGCTGTAGCGGGCTGGTTGGCGGCCGCAGGGATGTGATGCATCTGCTTCGCTTGCCTGGTCTGCTCTGCTTGCCGTCCATCTGCGCTGGCGTCGCTTCTGATTTGCGGCTATGCGCAGCGCTAGCAGCAATATATCGAAATCGACAGCAGGGATTTGAGGTCGTTGGTTGGCCACTTGACTGCTGCCGGGCTGGGCCTAGCTCGCGGGAGGCAGAAGGGTAGGGCTGGGCCATCGTCCAGTGGCCAGCCCGTGTAATAACCCAATCTGGATGTGGCTTGTGATACTTGCTGCACGTCGATGGCAAGTTCGTCGCCTCTTTTGGGGGGGCCTGGCCCTTCAGCTGTTGGCCGTCCGCCCGGAGGTTTTTGTTGTTGCTGTTGTTGTTTCTGGTTTCTTCCGGTTGTGGGACTTGGTCGGAGGCGCAAGACGGGAAGAAGCAGAAACAAAAAAAATTGATTACTACATGCAAGGTCCCTTCATGACTTTAGAAGGTGTACTATACTACTTTAGTACCTACACAGGGACGGATAGAGGAGGGAAGGAACAATTTGAACTGGAGAGTGACGTTTGGCATTGCCGACGGGAACGGGATATGGCAGGAGCAGCCCAACTCTGGATGACTCTGGGAGGCGCGGGAGGGCGCCTGCCTGCACAACGCCAAGCGACAGAACACCTCGTGTCCATTAGTAGCTTCACTACTCTTTTCTCTTTTTCTCTTTCTCTCTTCTGCCTCATCCGCTAGACCCTCGTCTTCTGTCCTGTTGTGACGTCTTCATCATCGTCACCTGAGCAGTCAGCAAACGGTAGCGTGAGCGTATTTCCTGCCTCTTTCTTCATCGCTCAATGACTGAGAAACGAGCAATGACATGCCATTGACCGGGTATGAAGCACGAAGAAGCACTGACTAAACCCCAAGCGCAACTCCCTCCAGGCAGACGAGCACTCGAGCCATTCTGGCGAGATTCCGCCATCCGGCCCGCGGCTATTCTTTCCCGTTGGTCGGAACGTCCTCGCGCCGCCACTCGCTCATCTTTGGTTTCCGCGCGGCTGGGATTGCCCTTTGATGGCCCCAGATATGATGCATCCAGCATTAGTACAGTAGCTGGGCCCCCCGTATCTGCCCGGCCCTGACCGAGCTGATGACGAGCTGCCTCACCCTTGCGCCAGTGCCACCGCCAGCTGAACTGTCCAATGCCACCAGCCGTGGTATCCGTGCAGCTCGCGCCCCGCTCGTTCCCGTTGCTCCCTTGGCGAGCCGTGGAGAAGCTCCCATGGCAGGGTGTTGCGATTCTCTGCATCTTTCCCGCATCATGGCTGCTCAGGTGAGGTTGAAGGGAGAACAGGGCGGCACAGTGATGGCTAGCCCACTTCCACTCTAGCCCGCCCGGCAATACCAATCTATTGGATTGCAACTGAGCAATGACGTCTTTTGTTTGGTCACCACCCGGCGCCTGGGGGCCAAACGAGGCTGGCTGCTCACCCTCGTTTCTAACTCGATCCAGATAGGCATCCGCATTCGAGAAATGACATGTTATTGAGCAAGCTGCGACTCGGGCGGGCACGGGCCAGCAAGATGATACACGGAGTCTGACTTTGTGTTTCCCAACCACGTGGATGGCCATAGTCTCCGGCAGTGCCACGAGGAGGGTCCCTTCCTCCCCGCCAATAACGACAAAGAGGGAAAAAGAGCTGCGGTTGGATTGCAGCTGCGGCTGTTCATCGCACGGGAATCTTGCTTGCAGCAGTCATACATACTTGCGGGACCACGATGCTTTGCCTGCAAGGGCCCCTGCGTTATGTGCGACACTGACTGACTGCAGCCGGTGAGGCGGCCCCGGGTTGGCCGATATGGGACTCTCGTGGAGACTTTGAGCCTGCTTCTGGCGGCTGGGGCATTTCCAGCAGCATAGATGTCACTGCTCTGAAGCGACGGGTGCAGCAGCAGCGCAGCAGCAGCAAGCCGAGGGCTGAACAGCAATGACTACTATTCTGTGTCAAGCGGGTGCGCGCGTTTGGTAAGGTATCTGTCATTAACGGCAGAATACGTGACAGGAGACAGTCCTTCAGCCAAGGCAGCATCCCCGTTACAGTCACATCGTATTCAGCTTGGTATTCTACAACATTCTGAAGCCACAATGCAAGAAGCAGCCTAGCCTAAGACACGGTGTTCTTGGTCACGACCCCTCTGGCAAACTCGCCAAACGTCAAGTGCTGCTCGATGTCAACCTCCTCATCCAGATTGGGCTGCGTAAAGACAGCCAGCGTATTCCTCGCTATCCTGCCATCGCTCACGCTGGCCCTGACACCCCTCACAAAGTGCGGCACCGCCTTAAACTTTCCTGCGGTGATGCGCTCCAGGGCCTCGCCCGTCTGGAACGCGATGCAGTCACGAGGGATCTTAACCTGCACTGTCTCGCCCGTTCGAGACTTGATGTAGAGGCCGGCGGCGGGGTCGGGCGATGCAGGCAGCTCCTCCAGCGGAGGCAGAGAGGCGCCATTGAGGCTGGTCAGGTCTGCCGTAGGCACCGTGGGGTCGGCCTTCTTCTCGTCGATGAACATGGCAGATGTGAGTCCGGTCAAGCAGCCATGATCGAGATGGGTGCCGCACCAGTCGTCCTCGTCGCCCTCTGCCGCGGTGGATGCCGCCTCGGACGCCCCCTGAGGGAAATAGTGCAGCAGCCTCGCCTTGGTGGTGTTGGAGGTGCTGACGACGTGCTCCAGGTAGCCCTTGGGGTACCCCTGGATCTCCTTCTCGGCAAAGCGGTCACAAGCGCGCGCCACCAAGACGGCAACGTCAATGATGAGGCGGCAGAGGCTGGTCACTGCCGGCTTCATGCCGGGGAGCACATTCTCCGCGGGCCAGATGTTGGGCGACAGGTACTCTGGAAAGGTCTCTGGCGAGAACTCAGCCGTGGGCTCGGCGCATTCCAGGCTAGGGTTCACGTAAAAGGCGCAGTTGGCGTAGAAGGATCCCTTGAAAGTGTCTGCCTGCCCATTCTTGAGCGTTTCCTTTCCCAGAGACCAGCCGGTAAGGTACTTGGCTTTGGCGTTTTCCAGCTTGTCTGTGGAGCGATGGTAAGCGTTTGCTGATTGTGTCATAGGATGATGGACACGAGGAGGGAAACGGATAGTAGCTGCCTGACGACTGAACCTCCACTTCCCCCCTCTCCAAGTTCTCACTCCCATTTCGGTGGCTAAAGAAGAAACAAGACAGGCACTTACCCAGTTCCTCCTTGGGCAGATTTCCCAAGTAGGATCCATATGACAGGGCGAGATGGCGCAGCTGCACAAACTCCTGTGGAACGTCCTTGACAACTAGGATTCCCAAGGAATCAGGGCCAAAGGCCTGCTGCAGAGTCTCAAAGGAGACGTCTCCTGGAGGATTGGCCTGCTGTGTAAGCCAGGGTTACAGCGACACGTGGGAAGGCTCGGCGATGGGTGTGACTGAGAGTGCGGGATTGTGCTTGTGTTTGTGCGAGTGTAGGAGTGAGAGTGGGAGTGAGTGTGAGAGCAGTAGGCTAGGTAGTGGGAGTATGATTGCGACTTTGAGTGGGTGGGCAGTATTTCAATCCATCCATCCATCTCTTGCTGCCTACTGCTGTAGCAGCCAGCTTATACAGGGTAAGGTAGGCAATATGATGATGATGCAGATGGACAGGGTGAGCATAGAGGGATAGGCACGGGAGTCTCTTCATACCATTCTGCAAGTCCTTGAGAGACACCGTTACAGCCTGAGCCAGGGGAGCCATGCCGAGACGATGATACAAGAGTGGAACTGGACGAAGTTGTGATAGACGTCAGTTGCTGACTGGAGGAATGCGTTGGCGCGAATGACTGCTAAACACAATGAGATAAAGCAGGAGATGATGGGATGGACAGATGGCGGGAGGAAAAGGATCGATCGCCGTTCCTTCAGGTGGCTCGAGGGGCCGTGGCAGAGAAAAGGAAGAAAACCGAAGCAGAACTTTGGCTTGCATCCTCGCCCCCAACCCAGGGCGAAACCGAGGCCCGCCACCTAAGATAGGTGGTACCTTTAGCGAACGGCTCCAGTGCCGCTCCTCCACGTTCCAAGGCAGAACACAACCACTTGTACAAGGGCGTCGGGGCTGTTGCGTACCTTTTCGCTGTCACTGTTACCGTAGGTATGTATGATGAGGCCAAACTGCTCTTCTCTTGATACTACCTAGTATTTGACTACGGATTCTGTGGACTCCATGGTGGGGGAGGGGGCAAGCAGACAGGAGTTTGCTTGTGAAGTCGCACTGGATACCAAGATGGGGGGAGCAAGAGCAGCGGCTAAGGACGGAGCTTCGCATATGCTTACGTAATTCCCCGGCCGGATGAAGATGGAGCTCGCCGTTCGCCGCTCTTTCTTGGAGCTCCGGCTATTATGACCTTAGAGTATTCATTCGTACCTCTCTCGCACTAAGCAGCTTGGAGCCTCTTCATGAGCATAACAGGCGAATCCCGCGTAATGCGACCGAGCACAGGCGGCGATACGTAACGATTCCGTCTCGACAGCCGTTTCTCTAACACTTCACAGCCTCCGACGCGAGCCGAGGCTTCCAATTGGCCGTTGCCCGTTCCCGACATTCAGGGCTCCTCGCCATCAAAGCATCGTCAATGGTCAAGCCGCTGACCTTCAAGGGCGACAAGAAGCCCAAGAAGCGGAAGCGCGCCGCCGCGGAGCGCGATGACGGCGATGACGCGGGCGAGTCCAGCAGTAGGCAGCAGAAGAAGCTGGTTCGCAGCGAAGGCGGCGGCGGCGGCAACGATGCCGAGGACCAGGCCAACGACGACAGCTGGGTGTCTGCGGACACGGTCGCGGACGTGGTCGGACCGGTCATGATTGTGCTGCCCACGGACAAGCCGTCTGCGCTGGCGTGCGACGCGGGCGGCAAGGTGTTTGCGCTGCCGATTGAGAACATTGTGGATGGCAACCCGGCGAGCGCGGAGCCGCACGATGTGAGGCAGGTCTGGGTCGCGAACCGGGTTGCTGGGACGGAGCACTTTCGCTTCAAGGGTCATCACGGGAGGTAATGTTGCAAACCTATCTGGAGAAGAGTAGATTCATTTGAACGGCACGCTCATTGTGAGATGATGTGATTGCAGATATCTTGCCTGCGACAAGATTGGTCAACTCTCGGCAACCTCTGAAGCCGTCTCCCCCCTGGAGTCGTTCAACGTCATCGCCACAGCCGACACGCCGGGCACCTTTCAGATCCAGACGCTGCGCGACACGTTCCTGACCATCAAGCCGTCGACGTCGACCAAGCCCAACGCGCCGCCGGCCGAGGTCCGGGGCGACGCCGACGCCATCACGTTCAACACGACGCTGCGCATCCGCATGCAGGCCCGGTTCAAGCCGCGCATCAGGACGTCCAAGGAGGAGCGCGAAAAGTCCAAGATTAGCCGGCGCGAGCTGGAGGAGGCGGCGGGGCGGAGGCTGGACGAGGACGAGGTGCGAATGCTCAAGAGGGCCAAGAGGGAGGGCGATTTCCACGAGCGGTTGTTGGAGATTAAAGTCAAGAGCAAGCACGACAAGTTTGGTTGATGCCTCGCGGACATCAGTAGGGTTGAATGAGGGCAGATTGTTACCTACAGTGGAGTCGTGGAGGCATAATGGTCGATATTTGCGCGATTACACGGGCGTGGTCAAAGCCCCGTATCATCCGGGGGGGTGGTTTCAGTCTTGAGACGATGCGAGCCTCCGCCTCCTTCTTCAGATGAGATCCTTTTGGTTGGGTTCTCTACATCCCTTGTGCTTGACGGATTTGAACAGAGCCGTCTACTTTTCTCACCACATAGCGGATGTGTTGATACACGAAACGACGCAGTCGGAAGCAAAGGGCTAAAGGGTAAGGTAGCTTCTTTTGCACATGATCTGTTCGCGCACCAACAACTAGGTTATTGTTGCATGAGCTCTACCGGCACTCAGCAGGTTATACAGCCAATCGAAGCCTCGCAGACTGGATGGTTGAAGATGTTTTTCTCAGGGCGGGCAAAAGACAAGGAAGAAGTTCTCTTAGAAGCGCCATTTCCAGATGCCAGCTGATGAAAAGTCATGTACAACAGATCAAGACAAAAGGTTTGAGTCAATTAGTATAACCAAAAGAAAGTAAACACCGTTACTCAACGGCCAAGAGGAAAAAATATATTGCTTTGGTATACTTGATTCGATAATCAGTCAATGATCTAGTATATCTCATCCCGCCCTCCACGCCTTGACGTTTCCGTCCTCTCCCGTCGTAAAGACCACCTGCTCATCATCAAAGAAGCAGAACGAGCGCACAATTTCGCTGCCGTGAGACCCCGGCAGGACGACCCTGTTGTCGAGATCGAGGGCCCATTCGTTGTTTGCCGCCTTGGACAGGAAGGTGAGCTCAAAGGTTTGTTTGCTGCGCATTCCTTCGTAAGCAAAAAGATCACAGGTCTCCCCTCGTATCAACCACATGATGATGGGGGGGGGGGAAAGGGGGAACATACTCTTGCGCACCAGCGCCCAAAATCGCACCACTCCCATCCAGCTTGGTCACGACATTCGCCACGTACTGACACCCCAGCACCTTTCTCAGGTCCCCGAAATCCTTGACGGCGTCCCCGCCGACGCGGTCCTCGGCCACGTCCCAGACGGCGAAGCACTCGTCGTGGGAGAGGGCAAAGACCTCGGTGTCGTTGAGGAAGGCGGCGTCGTGGATGGAGGCGTTGTGGTTGAGCGTCTGGACGGTGAGCTCGTCCTCGTCGGGGATGGACGTGTCGTGGACGCTGGCGAGGCCGTCGGTCGAGCCCGAGATGAGGATCTGGGGCCGCGTCGGGTGGAAGGAGAGGGATGTGATGTCGTCGCTGTGGACCTCGGAGTATGTTGCCTTTGGGGAGGGGGTTGAGCGGACGTCCCTGGAGGCGGTGTGAATTTTTGTTTTTTGGTCAGTAGATGGGGGAAGTGATGGGGGTGATGATGGTGATGATGAGGTTGTTTTACCATAGGTGTATTGAGGCGGCGTGGTTCTCCAGCTCGGTGCCCACGGCAATGGTCTGCGTGCTGGGACTACATGCCATGGATAGTATTGATGCTTGTCCCGCTGTTCGTCATCAAAAACACGACGGTTAGCACAGAGCCTCTCACTCGAAATGCCTCTCATTCATCCTCCACCCTCACTCCTCACTCCTCCTCATTCTTTCATGCATGCACCTCCAAAAATTCCATCAGAACACACAAACTCACCCTGAAACCGCGCAACCCTCGCCCCAGCCCTCAAATCCCACACCCCGACCGATCCATCCTCTCCCGCCGTACAGACCACGCCAGTCATCGGGTCAAACGCCCTCATCGTCGTGACATTTCCGTGGTCCGTCCGCAGACTCGCCTGGGGTCCGCTCCCGATGCGAGCCGGATCGAAGAGCGAGAGGGCCTGGTCGGAGGATACGGTTGCGAGACCAGAGGCTGTGCGGTGGGCTTCGAGGACGTATGTTTCGGAGTCTGGGCTGCTGGGGAAGTGGTATTGGTCAATGTTGGTGAGGGTGTACATTTTTGCTTCGGTGAGGTAGTTGGTTTCGTTGACGGTGTTTTGAGGTTGGGTATGATGTATTATAAGATGAGTGATAGAGGGTGGGAGTTGGCTTTTCGTGCCGCTTTGTGTACACGACACCAAGACGCTTGGTGGTTAGTTAAAAATCGAGGAGGAAGGAAACAAAGAGCAGTTCTTCTGAGGTTGTGAATGGTATCGCTTATGACTCTGGGTTCAGTGTAAGTGAGTTTCACTCAAGAGATGTCTCACAGACCTTCAGAGCTCCAACTTTTTTTTTTCTCAGCGCGCTGCTCACTGGCGAGGTACCTCGGCCTATGTACCCTGATGGACGCGCTAAGAGCTTCTAGACTCCTTAAATGCATATTTCTTCACATAGCAATATCAATGGGAAGCTTCAGCAGCTTTAGGTGGTTGAACCGTATTCATCGACATCATAGTCAAGACACCTTCTGCCAACACTATCGTACACACCACAGTTTCAAGTCTAAACCAGTCTAGATCCTCGCCCGGCCAAGAATAGGAGTGTCGCCAAACCAAGCTGCAACGCGATGAGTAAATGCCACAAAGCTGCGCCGCCTCAAGCAGTTCCGTCCTGCTTGTAACAAACGCCGAATAAAGCACACAAAACGCCATGTCCTGCATCTTCGAGTAGAAATACATATAAGAAAGCTATTCCCCCCCTTTTTTTCTCATTGACTTGCCTTTTTTTTTTCAATTCTTCCTAGCAAAGCTTTCTTCCCGGGCTCGCTCATTGATGCCTCGAAACGCTCGCTTGCCAACTTCGTAGCTGCTGATCATGATGGCGCACGCCGGCGCTACCTTCAGGGTTCGCGGAATCCAGCCCCGCCACAGACCAGGGAAGCCCTCCGTCTTGAAGATGTGCCACAGCAACCGAATCATGTTCTGTTCCTCGGGGGCCGGCGCAGCGCCAGCAACGCGGTGGGGAGAGTTGTGATAGATCTGGGTGCGCGTTTTGCCGACGTCAAACGGCATGGTCAATACCGACGCCAGAGCACCAGAGATGGCACCGGCAGTGAAGCTGTCGAGGAACGTCTCCGTGTGCTTCTCTCGGCTCTGCGAGCGACGCCGCGCCCTCGTGCGCTCAAGGCTGTCGAGGGTGTCGCGGGTCAACGGCCTGCCCTGGCGTTCTTCGCGGAGGTCTGTTAATCTAGATCGTATTGACTCGTATCCCCACCAGTAGAGGCCAGAAAATGGCACATCTCGCCATAGTGTGAGCGTTAGTCCTCGCCAAAGCGAAGTGTAGCCATGGGAGGCGACCATGGACCGAATACCGTTGAAGGTTTCTACCAAATGGTTCGTTGTTGACCCACCATGGGCAGCCTGCATACGGGTGCGGATGAGCTCAATAGGGCTGACGGCTGTTGCCGCAACCAGTCGGGCAGCAGATCCAGCAATAAGGGGCGCATAGTCGTCCGAGAAGCCAGAGAAGGGGCTCACGGGGTTGAATCGCAGCCAGTCGTATCCGGTGAAGTAGATGATGTTGGCGGGGATGGTCATGACAAGGGTGGGTGAGAGACCCCTCCATAGCGTTGTGAATCCTTCGTTGCGAGCAATCTTGCGCAGTCCATCAATGGTCGAGTTGTATGTCTTCCTCTGGACCTCCTCGACTGCGCAGTCAGCCGCGGCAGCGCTGCTCCCGCTCGGTGCCGGAATGCCTTCAAGCTTGGGGACGGCGAGACAGTAGTCAATCGAGCCTCCGGCGAAAAACACCTCGCGGCAGCACGCAGTGACGCCCAGTTCAGCGCTTTGCACGGGCGTGAGGCTCGTGGTTGTTCGCATCAGCCTCGAAAAGTCGACGTTCCTGACGGTGGTCGTGGTGGCCTTGGTGGATGATTGCGACTGTAGCCGCACTCGAACGACGTCCAGCGGAGTCACTGTAAGGAAAAAAAAAAGGTCAGCACCTGTATGAATCCCACCTCCAGTGGGTGACATCAGGGGGATTGCTCACCAAGCAGCGACGTCAACAGACTGCCCGACATGGCCGACACCATCTTCTGGCCGGCAGTGATATCTGGAATGGCATTGCCTCCGTCGCCATCCTCCGCGCCCATGCCAGCCATGGCGAAGGTATCTTCGTCTATCCTGTCGTGGTTTTGGCTGTAGGGGCTGTGGACAGCAGAGGTAGAAAAGGATCCCATGCCGAGTTGCCCGTTGGATGTCAGTGGCGGGGGGGCGCAACGACTGAGCGAGCAGCCGAGTGCTCGGCCCGTGAGGAATTGTGCGAAGTGGCAGCTCTCTCTCTCTCTCTCGGAGATGCTCGGACCAAGTCAGATCGACGTCAAGCGGGTGTTGGTTCGTATGCGAAAGCGACGGCAGCTGCTTCAGTGTGAGCGCGACGTGATGCGGTGAGAGGAATATGAGATATCGATGATGCAGGATGAGGACGAGTCGGAGAGAGGAACGAGGGAAAAGACGAATAGGTAGGATAGACGGCTTGTCAAGAACCTGGAATCAAGTAGTCATAGCTGCTGGGCTAACATGATGGAAAGGCTACTAAAAAAGTTGAGGCGCTGCTACTAGAACTGAGGCTAGCGAGAGATGCTCGTTCGGGTATAGCGCCTCAATCGCCCCAACGTGGATTTTCTCTTGCCTTCTCTCCTATCGCCTTTTTTTTTGCAATCTGTAATTTTCCGATACTAATAATGTTTTTTTTTTTTTCTCTTTTTTTCTTTTCGCCCGCCTCCGCGCCGCTGCCGGAGATGAATCTGGAACCGCGGGTAGCCGATGATGTCACCCGGCGCTGTGATTGGTCGGCTGGGTGGCGATTGATAATTCGCGATAAGATAACAGGGTTCCTTGCAGAGCTGCAGTCGCTCTTGCCTAGAGAAGCAGCAAACTGCCAGTTCAATGGAAGCTGACTGTGCAGACACGACAGGACATCAGGTGAGTACCTCGGTATCTCGTCTTAGTAAGCTTCTCCAGGCTGTCACTGGCCGATTGAGTCAACCTGTCAAACCTCCAGGGGCGCGCATTGTCTTGACCGAATGATTGCATACAAATCTTACCGACTACAGGTAGTCTACCTACATGCTAACTCCATCCCATCTCATACCATTCTCACATCACGACGTCTTCATTTCCTACATAAACATACAGGGCTATATATCAAGTCAATTAACCCTCATCTTTCCTCTTTCTTCGATAATTAGTCATCCATTCATTCCACTTACTTATAGTTCTCGTCACATCTTTGCGTGCCCTCGAATAAACTCCATCCGTCGCTTCGTTACCTGAGGTATAATACGCAGCAATTACCTAGGTAGCAATCAACTCCGTCCAGTCCCTTCCAGATTCCCCGCGCTCGGCCATATCGGACATCGTCTTTCATCAAAGCGACACAGCCGCATCCACCATGGCTTCAGAGAGCCGTGAACAAATGTCCAATTCCGAGCTGGAATCGTTCCGTCAGCAATGGCTTTCCGATTTGCAGTCGCGAAAAGAGAGCGTAAGCTCAGCATCCCATGAGGCCGGAGCTTCGTCTTCATCTTCTGCCGCCGTCCCGCCTGTTGCTTCACGACAAAGAAAGCACACGGGCCCTTCAAGCCCGACCACCAAGAAGATCCTGCCAGCCATTGAAGATGACGAATACTACCTCCATGGTCAGACGTTCGACACCCTTCCTCCGCCATCATCAGGAGGGCATCTGCTCTCAGATGCCCCAGGCAAGCATGATGAGAAGCCGCTGGTCTCGGCTCTGGATCATTATGAAAAAGCCATGGAGAAGGAGGCGCAGGGTAACATGGGAGAAAGTCTGCGGCTTTATAGACAAGCCTATCGCGTAAGTTTCGGTGCATGATGAAGATGCTCTTCCGGTGACATAAATAGCTGACTCTGTCTTCTTAGCTAGACCATCGAGTAGACAGGACATATCGGGAGAAGCACTTCCCAGGGGGTTTCTCTTCTACCAAGGGAACAAGCACAGGCGCAGGCGCCGGCACTACTTCGTCCGCGGGAGCATCAAAGGCATCACCAGAAGCAGCCAAAGCAGCAACCTTGAAGCCCCCCGAGGGAGAAACGCAGCCACTGACCTGGGACGAGCTTATCGAGAGCTTTCGAGGCTTGAAGATCGAAGCCGCGCCCCCCATCATCGAGAACACGCCGCCACCTCCGTGCCATATCGCCAAGCTTCCCGATGAACTCCTCGTGCACATTCTCACAGACGTCGCGGTGGCTGATGTCGGTGATTTTGCCCGCCTGAGTCTCGTATGCAAGCACTTCGCCTACCTCGTGGCGACCGAGCAGCGCATCTGGAAGCGCGTCTGCCTCGGCACCGAGTTTGGCTTCACCGCGATGCCGCGCCACTGGCAAAAGACGGTCGAGTGGGGAGACCTCGAGGCCCAGGAAGAGGCAGACGAGGACGGCCTGCTGGTCAGCATGCGGGAGCTCGAGGAGCGCCGCCGCGCCGACGCCCTCGCGCTCACGACGTCGCTCCTCGACTCCGGCGTATACCCCTCGTGGAAGCACATGTTCCGCACCCGCCCGCGCGTCCGCTTCAACGGCTGCTACATCAGCACCGTCAACTACATCCGCACCGGCCAGGCCACCAACCAGGCCGTCTGGGGCGGCGACCCCGTCCTCATCGTCACCTACTACCGCTACCTGCGCTTCTTCCGCGACGGCACCGCCATCAGCCTCCTCAGCACCACGGCCCCCGCCGAAGTCGTCCACCACCTCACCCCGGAGCTCCTCCGGCTGCACCGCGAAGCTCCCAACGCCCACCTGCCCTCCGCCATGATGCACCAGGCCCTCAAGGGCCGCTGGCGCCAGTCCTCCGCGCTCGATCACCCGGACACCGCCGACCCGCGGGAGCAGGAGTCGGACCTGTACGTCGAGACGGAGGGCGTCGGCCCAAAGTACATGTACCGCATGGACCTCTCGCTGCGGAGCGCGGGCAAGGGCACTAGGAACAACAAGATTGTCTGGAGGAGCTTCTGCAGCCACAACAAGCTGACGGGCGACTGGGCCGAGTTCCAGCTCAAGAACGACAAGCCCTTTTTCTTTAGCCGCGTCAAGAGCTACGGCGTGGGAGAATCGTAGCTATCTTCATGTTGTCTCCTTCCAAAATATGACTTCACGAAACGTCCTTTATACTTTTTTGCTTCTTGGCATACTACAACTCGGACTGCTGTCCTCACAGTCCATTTTTGGATACTTGGCCTTCACATCTTTTGGGCACATAGACATTATATCAAGGTCTTGAGCACGAAAAATATGATTCACAGCCTTCACATCTTGCTTCTTCACATGTTTAGAAGATCCACGGAAACCTCAAGATTTTCATCAGACTCCCTACTTGATTCGTGATATCTTACCTTTTCCACACACAGCTGGAAAATTTTGCCGCCTTCGTAATTCCCGCCTTGAAGCTCAACTGTTCAGAAAACGATCAATGCCTGCCATATGTACCGCGCTAGAGTTGGTATACAAAAAGAAGGAAAGCATGAAAGGAAAGTAGATACATTTTGATAGCTTAAGAAGAAAGATCCTTCGCCATGATAAGATGCCATACGATATGATATTCAATGCCCAAAAAATAGTGAATCAAGAAAATAGAAGAGGCGAGGCATGTACAAAAAAACACGCGAAACAGATGGGTAGGGGATCGCTTGGTCGCTGATACGTAGATGATACCACATTCCCCAAAAGCGGGATGTGTGTCAGTAAGATATAATGAGAAAGCACATGCTTGACAAGCTGGTTGGCAAGCTGGTGTAGGGTCGTATATAAAATAGGGGTAATGGGCTCTGCCCTCGCACAGTTCAAGGTACCCGACAGACCTTGAGTAATGGCGATTTGATCGTTGAATTGCCGAGCGGAAGAAGAGGTTGGTAGATCTACCCCAAAGGTAGATATGGTGCAAAGAGGTCGTATATGCCCCTGGACTCCGGGCTATCGTCTCTTTGTCTCCTACTTTTCTCGCTTCAGACGGTAGATTATTGCAGTGACGTCGTCCAGACGAGATGCCGCATATTCTACCGCAACCTCTTGCCGTCCAGAAACTTTGGCGGATCAGCATCGTAGTAGCTCTGCTGGAACTGCATGGCCTTGCGCGCCTCGTAGGCTGCCCGTTCTTCTTCGTCCATGCTAAATGCTTTCTTGAGCCATCCAAATGCACTCTTCTTCTTCTTGAGCTGCCTGTCCGCCGTTTTGGACGTCCGCATACTTTGTGCCGTCCCGTCATCGTAGGTCACCGACTCGACATTGCTCAGCGTGCTCAGTCCGGCGTTGGAGCCCTTGCTGCGAAGATGATGCGGTGGTACCAAACTCGGGCCCCCATGGTATGCAGACTGGCCATGGCCGACGGCAGTGTGTGGCCTCTGTTGCAGTGGTGAATGCGGCGAGGCCTGGACGGGGTGATATCGTTGTCGATCCGACCGCGGTGATGGTATAACATTGAGCTGCGGAGGGGACATCTCCATGTTACTAGAGCCACCTGATCCATGGCGGCCATGGCGTTCCGCATCGGACTCATACGCCGAGTCGAATTGGTGAGATCGCATCGTCTTTGGCGTGGCTGTGCTGGGCGAGTGGGCATACATTTCCATGCCCTTTATGGACCTTGGGGGGATTTGTATGTCCCCGGGCATCATCATCTTTTGCGACACTCGATCCCGGAGGGACGTTCTCCTTTGCACGATATCGCTGTCTCGCCATGTCATCGACTGTGTGTCTGCAGGAGTAAACGGGGCCGACTGGAGTGACTGAAGCGTCGATTGCGAATCCGAGCGAGCGCTATGGCTAGGCGCATCTTTGATCCGTGGTGAGGGTAGCGGCGCAGGGGGCTGGGGTGTGTAGGTGCGCGGCTGGAGAAGGAAGACCGGCTCGCTCCCGCGTTCACTGCGAGGCGTCTCCGTTTCTGGGTCGCTCAGTTCGCTGCCCGCCACCGAATTCTGCCGCAGTTGTGTGTTAGTTTGCAGAGACCTCGGACTGCCGAATCCAAAAGTATGGGCGGTAGTCGGAAGAGTATACTGAGAGCTGCCAGGGCTAGGGGCGGCCGAGGGCTGGGCAGACTTGGGGCTGTTGGAGGAGTAGGCATTCGAGGTGTGGCGGTTGGAACGGAACGGTGGGAGCAACGGTAAGCCTCCTGGCAAGGGAAAGTCGATGGTACTGGTATCGTCTCCGTCGACCATTGAGTTGATGGTCATTTGATCCGAATTGTCGCTCAGAACAGTACTGGGGGTAGGCAGATCATGTCCCTGCACTGTCTTGTACTCAATATCTGGAGACGCAACATCGTAAGAACTGGGCATTGGGGGGGCAGTGAATGGTGTAATGTTCGCCTACAATTGGAAATTTAGCCACCATGTCAAAGCCATCAACACGCCATCAAAGGGGTGATTTTGCAGCTTACCCATGTCCTCCGGCTGGCTTCACCGGCTTTCTTTTCCATCTCGGAAATGATGTTCATGAGGCGGATAATGAGGTTGTTGATGTCATCGGTGCTATCGCTGATTTTCTCAAAAGCAATGAGCCATCCCTCCGCATTGCCGCTCATGGCGTCGAAAATATCAATAACGTCAGGCTGATTCTCTCGCCAGGGGCCTTCGGCCTGATCGTTCAACCAGTTGATGAAAAGGTTACTGGTCTGCAGACCAGCCTCGATATCGTCGTCCCATTGCTTCATAGCCACATTGGTCCTCGCCAGGATGTGCTCAATTTTCTCGTTGCCCTGGAGTATCTCGTTGCGGAACTTGCGGTCCTCGAGCAACTGCTCAAAGACGGTGACATTCGACATGGGAAGCATCAAATGTTCGATGCGCTTCTTGAGATCCATCTCCACCTGCTCGAGATCCTCAATGGTGACCTCGAGAAATTCGTCGACTTCGTCAATGTGTCCCTGGAGGATGCTGACGACCTGGGTGTTGTTGTTGGCCATGCCATTGAGCATTAGGTATACACCAAACGAAATCTGAGCAATGAGCTTGGCCAGTTCGTGCTGAGACTGCCCCGGTCGCAGCCTCCACTGGGCATCAAAGGCGGGCTCGTTAACTCCCTGCGAAAGCACAGCCTCTCTGCGGCCCTGAGCATCCAGAGCCCTCAACTTGGGCTTCTGGACCTCAACACCGCTCATCACCTCGTGTAACGACTCGGCGAAGGCATCCTGTAGGGCGGGAATGGGGTGGACCGGGATTGCTGGCGGTGGGGGGGCCGAATCGGAATCGGGATCGGCCTCATCCTCAAGGCCTTCGCTGTCATCGTCGGATTCGGAGTCTCGGGCGTCTTTGTCGTGCTCGCCATACCGCGCAGAGCTCAGAGTCGTGGTCGAAGGGGGCGCTTTTCCTTGGGCATGGTCTGGAGAGAGAGGCGACGACAAGGTCTCAGCCTCGGGCAGCAGGACGATGCGGAGTCCTCCATTGTCGAAGTCCAGGGGCGGTAATGTCGAGGTCATGACGGTGCAGATACTGGTGCTTACAGAGGAGTGGGAAAGGCGAGGTATAAGCTGTGCACCTTTGCCAAGACTGTAGGGCGCTATGACAACGAGGAGGGTGTGCCAGGTGGCGCAGCGCAGAGAAAGTCGAGGTAGGCGGCAAATCTGAAGCGGCAAGCAACAGCGACGATGACAACGATGGGCGCGGCTTGAGAGGAATACGTGGCGCTGTCTATGCCGTCGAGAGCTTCGATGAGGATGGCCTAACAGCCATAACACCCCCCTCTTTTGGACAACAGCAACAATGAAACTCTGAAGGGCGAGACTCGGGGCTTGGAGAAGCGACGACCTCGAGCTTGGTCCTCGTTCTAGATTATGATACGGAGTAAGAGAGGATCGCGAAGCCGGGGACGATATCGAGAGGAGCAGGTCAGCAACGGATTCGCATGACCAGTCGATGCCAGTGATCAGAAGAGGAAATAGAAGCAGATGAAGTAGGTAGGTATGCAGGGAAGGTCGAACAAGGATTAAAGCGAGCGAGTCTGCAGAGAGACAAGAAAGGAAGAGAGAGTGTGTGTGAGAGTGAGAGAGAGAGAGAGAGAAGGGGAAAATGCCGGCGAGCCAACCAGCCGCGGCAGGCTTTGTGGTGATGGTTTACGGAGGGGGAGGAGAGGAGGAGAGGAGAGGAGAGAAGACGAAACGTGCTACTAATAATATGTACCTTCCTAATACCAAGATAATAAGACTTCGGGTCGCTCTCGCCTCGTCCAGCAGCAACAGCTCGAGCCCAGACCACCTCCAGAGCGTCTCCGTTCGCCTGTTAGCGCAGGTCTGGCCGCTGCTAATGGCGCCTCGACTGCTAAATTGGGAACAAGCAGATGCGAGCCTGCCATCAGGTCCCCTGGCCGTCGTTTTTAGTGGGAAAGACCTAGGGGGGGAATGATCCCTGATTGGGGATGGATTTTTTTTTTTTTTTTTTTTTTTTTTTTTTTTTTTTTGCCGTCTTTTTTCATCTTAGCCTTTTCAGGGTTCTGTCTGTCATTTTCGACAGCTGTCTTTCTGAGGTTGCTGTAAAATGCATCAATACCCAGATATTTTACCGTCATGATCATCGTGCGACAGAACAGCTGCGAATGCTTGCCGCAGTTAGCGGTATGTACTCGTATCTCCTATAACCTACCTAGGTAGGTATAATAGGGCTTTATTCTCGGGCTGACGATGCATTCGCGCGTGCATACGGGCAACACAGGACATGCAGCACGACGACTCCTGAGCCTCTGTTGGCCAGTGCTCGTGCAATTGCAAGCTCGAGCTCCAGGCTTGAATTTGGGGCTTGGAGGGGGGGGGCGCGGCTCGCATGGGATGGCTGGCGGGACGGGCCAACCAGAACCGCCAGAGTCCATCAATGATCAGGGGGGGGGGGGAGAGCCCTCGACAACGGCCGGATGGGGCTCGACAGATTTGATGGCGTTCAAATCTCCAGCAAGCGCCACGCGTACCTGAGATGGGAGCAGAGCTAGCAGTGGTAGTCGCATAGGATGGGGCCACGCCAGGAATTACTAGCAGCAGCGATTTCTGTTGGTCTTCATCCAAGCATTACAAGCACTGGGATATTATGAGCCTCTGGTGTCTGGTGTTTGGTGTCGTGGCGAATGGGCGTCTTGCCTTGGGCTGCTCTCAATCGAAAAGTGGCCGCCTCAAGCGGTGTGCCGTCGCTTGAGTGAATCAATTCTTTGCAGGTTGCTTTGCCGAGACGGACAAGGAAGTTCGTTCGAATTGAATGCAAGGGCTGCTGTTGAGCAACTCGTCAGCAAATGCAAGGGAGCGTAGCGACATGCAGCAGCAGCAGCAGCAGCTCACCAGCGACAGTTGGGTATCAATTCGCCATTACCTTGCAACCTCATACTAATACTATCGCAGACGTCGAGACAGGTTGTTCCTATTCGTCACGATGTTCCTTCCACTGCAGAACCGAGACAGCCATTCGTCGAATCGACACCTACGAAGCAAAGTTGCAAAGCAAGCAAAGGTAGTACAAGAACCCCGGGGACGCAAGACATTGAACGGCCCTCAGTGGGTACAGACTTGTCGGTCCGTCCAAGAGGCGATGATGATCAGCAGCGAAATCCCGATCGCTGCGGTCTAGACGCCGCTGATCTCGAGGATTCATTGAATAAGCGGGCATCCAACCTGCTGATCTTTCCTCTCTCCAGCCATGTGCCTGAATTCAGCGGCATCTCTTTGAAGTCGTGGCGGGCTCAGGCACGGCTACATGGCATCGCATCGGTAGCATCTGGGAAATGGCACCATCGATAAGTCATTTTCTTGGCTGCCATATCATCGCTACGATGGAGAAGGGCAAATTGGGCATAAACAGTATTTGCAGAGTCCATCTCCGATCGTACCTGGAATACGGAGCGTCGCACCCCCCGCCCAGCCTGTCAAGAGCCGGATATTACGACGAGGGACCCAAGCATTGCAGACCAGCTCGTTTATACGAGCCATGATGGCCCAGAATAGCCACAACGCCTGGTCTTTCTCATGAAATACGCATGTACGTACGTTCTCGGTGGTTTTCTTTCTCACATTCTTGCGCTCAAGCAAGTAAGATCAGCGCCTTTGCAGTGCAGAAAGGGTCAAGGCGAGAGAGAAGTGGTGGTCAGCTCACAGGGAGCCATACCACGCCAAATCGCATCAAGGCACCCGAATTGAACCCTTGGATGCCCGTGTCTCCGCGTCTAGTTCCTGCGCCTCACTCATCATTGGTCTTCCGCAGCTAGTCATACGAAAATGCTAATAATCTGCCAAACCGGCTCCAAGCGGTTCATTGCCTTAGCCGCATCAAGGCGCCAGGGGGTGGGCCATGGGTTCTTCATTTCGGCCGCCTTGGCTCTGCTAAGCACACTCGGCGAAAGGGCTCTTCCATGCCATTTGCTCCCCCTCCTCCTTTTCTTGAGCAATTCTGAATATTACATTACAATGATAGACAAAAGAGAGGGCATTTCCGTCCTCGCATCACGTCGCGGAGATTGATGCACGGGCTTCGATGCAGATTGAGAGGCAGCCAACTGTCACCAATCCCATTTCCAGGGGCTTCGGAGCAGAAGCATCACGACAGGGCATTCATGATGTTGGCTTGGGGTGCCGGTATGGTATCTCGAATCTTCAGTACTCATCCGTAGTCTCCTGTTTTATCGAGGTCCCTGGTATTTCTCAACGCGCTATCAAGTGCCTTATGAAACAGAGAATGGCCTTGACTCTCCTTTTCCTTCTAACGCGCAGCCGCCCTTGAAGAACACACCCTTATGCACAGCATTGACGACCCTTTATCACTTCAATTTCGAGAGTGGGCATCTCTACGCGATGAGGAGCCATTCTCCCACGCAAATCGACCCATCGACCTGACTAGCAAAACCGAGATCCCAGCAACCCGGCATCCGATACCAATACTGCCGCAAGGACCGCATAATGCGGCTCATCACGATCGTACGAGCAGCGTCCGAGGCAAAATTCGGCATAATCGACTCTACAAGCCGCCATCTACCTACAGGAACTGCCGACAAGCATTTCCCATCTGGTGTAGCCCCATCCAAAGTGCTCCCCCATACTATCTCGAACCTTTATTTTCTCCCCCACTATCAAAGTGATCAGCACGATCGGAGGCCCAGAAGTGGGCGCGATGGCCTGCATCGTGCCGCTTGCGATCATCGCACAAGGGGAAAAGAAACCAAGCAAACCAAGGTGGCGTCAGTGCTTGTCTTGCCAGCTAAGACATGTCCACTTGTAGGCTTACCTTATCACTGCATTCAGGCCTTTCAATGTACATAATACTAGTAGACGACATGCCTGTGACCGATAGGTTGTGTAATCAAAGCGGCGATGCCCTTGTATAGACGGGCGCAGGTGAAGACTGATTGCCTGGTCAAGCGATTCGCAGAGAGCAAAGAAAACATACGCTTACACAAAAACCAACCATACGCACACAAATGCGGCGTCTACAACCAAATGCTAACACCCAACTAGTGCTCGTATTACTCGCATGTGTGTCTATATTCTTTTGCACTCCCTATTCTTTGCAAAGCACTTGTTGGTGTGTTATATGCATGATGCCTCAAGTAGAACTCTCCCTAAATCATGAGTTCAAGCGCATTGCATTCGAGAAGTCTCTCACCATCTTGCGGCAAGAGTCATTACCGAGGCATACTGCTCCTCATATCACAGAGCTCTGAAGTGAACCACGATGGTCTCTTGCCTCGCATCAAGAGACTCGGGAGTGGTCATATGCTCGTACAAGTCAATCAATAACTTTGAAGACACATGGACAGTGTGGAGGATAGCAAGAGCCCCAGCTCATCTAAATGCCATCAATTTCTAGGTGCCAAAACCACGGGCAACAAAGAACTCAATCTATCATTCGACATGTAACCCGGGACAGAAAAAGCAATCAAGTACCAATCCATTCCCCCAAAACCCTTTTTCTCGCCTTTCCCTTTCCTTCTTTTCTAATTGCTGAAAACATATCCGCTCAAATCTCTAATGTTACAACTCTTGTTCTTCATCTATCAGATCCCACACGCTCTAACACTTCATGACAACGCCCTTGCGCTTCTCGGATTCGCGAATCTCAAACATGATCTGAACACCCACAAACAAACAAATACACGCAGTGAGAATAAAGAATACACCTAGTTCATTGTGTAGATGTCAGCAGATTGTACCAGCGGCGAGAAACGGAGCATCAGCGCTCAAACGTACCTGACCAATCATGCAGAATGCTGCTGAGAATGCTCTGTAACCCATCAAGGCCAACCGCAAAGCCAACCAAGTTGGCAGAAATCATCATCAGCACATTGCCCACGGCTCCGATGCAGCACAGCATGCGATACTCCGTAGGCCGGCTTTCCCACTTCCTCTTGGGAAACAAGTAACTGGCAGTCCATTCGGGCACCATGAAGATGACAATGAGCCAGCCCCAGATCAGCAGGCGGAGCTTAATGTCGTGCCAAAGGGCGACAAATGTGAAGACCAGCAGATACGTGACGACCGATTTGACCGAGGACTGCCAGCTGCGGAACGACGAGCCACCCAGAGGGATGTAAATGTACCGGATGAGCCAGCGGTTGTACGAGCGATGCCAGGCACGCCAAAACAGCTGCGTGCTGTAGTTGTTGCTCACGCATCGAACCATGTTCTCTGGCGGGTCAATGCCATCCACCAAGGCCCAGAGACGGAACATGCGCCAGGGAAGCAGCAGCTTCAGCCAGATGATGTGAAGGTTGAAGAAGGACAAAAGACTGAGCTGAGCGGCAGTGTAGTCGCTCCAAACGGGGGCCGCCTTGCTAATCGCTCCAACATAGTCGTAATGCAAGATAAGCTCCATGGCAAGGAGAACAAGCAGGAACCGGACGCCGTATCGAATTGTGCGAGGCCATTCGATACTCGCGGCGCGATACTTGGACTGCGAGATGTAGTCGTTGAAGGTAATAATGGGACCGGCAATGTACAGCGGCGCGTACAATGCGTACGCTACGTAGTTGCGGAACGAAAAGTCCTTGATGTCGGCAGGGATCGAGATTCGGTCGCGCTCGGAAAGGCTGGCGGGATCCAATCCCTTCTTCTTGGGTGTATTAGACACATACGGTATGCAATGACATCGGAGATGGGGGCGAATGGGCGCTTACCTCTAGAGAGTTTGAGCTTCGCTTGTCGATGCTCCAGTAGTAGTCCAGGTTGAAGCTGATGAGTCGCAGAATGGTAATGTTGAACAGAATGTCCCAGCGAGTCAAGATCCCGCCCCACCGATCCAACCAATATCCCCAATGCGCCAGCGGTCCCCAAGGAGGGCCAACCCAATTGGCCAAGAGCTGGAGCCGGTATCCCATGGTCAACTCATTGGCAAACAGAGTTCCAATGTTGAAGATCCAAGTCGCCGCGGGAACGTACTTGCGAGGCAGCTTGGTCGCAAGTTGGTAGTTGATGGTCAGGATGGCGAGGATCTTGAAGGACGAGATGCCGTGCAAAATGACAATGAAGGCAATGGCAAAGATGAAATCAAACGTGGCGCGCTGGTCCAGCCTCGTCGAGCCTCTGGCACCGCGCGCAGATGGCTTATACACCGATTCCCATGCCTTTCGCAGCAGTGGGTGAAATATCAAGAGGCCCGTCATGATGGGGAAGTTGCCGCGAAACGTGCGGTACTGCGCATCTGAATTGTCGATTTTTCGCCCCGGGATCCATCCGTCCGACAAGTATTTCTCGTATTTGGGATACCTAGGATCAGACGCTTCATCCAGCTGTCAGTATCTCCCCGTAGCCAGATCTAGGGGGGGAAAGGGGGGTCGCTCTCTTACGTCTTGACACATCATAGGCTACCCAGAACATATACGGGACGACGACGATAAAGACCATGTAGTAGAGGAAGAACTCGGGCGTGCGCCATTTCGGCGGCGGCGCAGAGCTCCGGGCCCTGGCCGCAGCCTCTCTCTCGACGGCCGGGTCGTCGCGAGCATCGATGACGGTCTGGTAGGGAACGGATGTCGACGAGGTGAATCGCGTGTCGAGGGTGTCGAGGTCGTAGACCTTGCGCAGGTAGGAGGAGAGACCCATGGTAGCTGATCAGGGTCCCGAGAGGCAAGACTCAGCGCATGGTGATCCGATTGGGCGGCGGGTGGGTGACAACTGGCAGCGGACAAGGCAGGCAAACAAACGGCCCTCTGGTGAGGCAACGCTGTTGTTCTCGCGAGGCTTCGAGAGAAACACCCAACCACTGCAGTCGAGCGCTGGCTAACGTTGGTGGGGCCGCAGCAGCGCATCTCAGCAAGCGAAAGCCCCTGAATCCCTCGGCCCCACGATTTACACGCGGCTGAGCATGGCTGAGCGCAGGTACCGCTACTTGCGCGGCTGCTGAGCTTGGGCTTGTTTGCCCACAGCCCCGCTGCTGCGCACATGTATCGCTACTTACAAGATCATCCCAGCTCAAACCCCAGACTGGTGCATCTTGCTTCATCCGTTTGCCTACCCTATCAAGCCTGTTCATCAACCGCTTTCTCATCTGTTCTCGAGCCTTTGGTTGGCCGACCTTTTAGAGTGTTGTCGTAAGGAAAGAAAGAAAAATAAAAAAAAAAATAAGAAGAAGAAGAGGAGGAGGGAGAGGAGGAGGAGGAACGGGAAAAGCTGATCAAGCAAAAGAGAATGAGTCGATGGACGAGGCTGGAACCATCTTCGTGTCAAAAAGGTACGCCTCGTATTGTAAGAGGCATGAATGACGACCTGTCAAACATCACTGCCGAAGCTGTTTGCTTCCCACAAGTTTCGAGCATCTTCAAGAGCAACTCGAGTTTCCCCTTGATGACAGCAATTATGCACGGTCAGGTGACGCATGTGCAGAGCCTCAAGAGAGAAGCCATCACCAACAGCGAAGGCTGCGCGCAATCAGCCCGAACGGCGATAACAATAGCTACGCCCGATCATATGCTGCAGGCAATTTACATGTTCCCGATTCCACCGGCCGCATGCAACCACAAGCAAGGCACCAACTGCACTCATCACCCAATGGCACCGTGGATGACTTGATGCAGCCATCGCTCCGAGGCCCACGACGAAAAATCCTACATGCCGCGAGGGAGAGGCCACCCCCCGTAGTAGCCAGTCAAGACGAGGCAGGCAAGCAAGCAAGCAAGCAGGCGGCGAATGTATGCGCTGGCATGCCGTAAAGCTCATCCTAGTAATGCTGCGTACGAGGGGCCCTGGGTTCGTTTCCCTGTAATAGCGCAGCTTCACAAGCAGCACTCTTCGCCGCGCGGTTTGCTGCATACTGATTCGGCATGTTTGCTTTTTATCTCCTCCCTCCCATGTCCCGTGTCCCGTGTCCCCCCTCTCCTCCCTGTGAGAGGCGCCAGATGAGCCAGAAAGACGGCGAATCATATTCCGGGCTGCCCAACAGGCCCCTCAAACAAAGCAAGGCTTGCCGAGCTGGTTGTTGAGGTGGCAAAGCCACTCATATGCGGCCCAAGGTCGTACCAGTGAGGCCGGCGTGGGAACGTGAAGGCTGAACAATGTTTGTCCAGGTGCAGCGCAAGACCTTTGAGTCCGACCCTCAAGCCTGGAGATGGCTTTGCCTATCTCCTTTGAAGTCTCCATCTTGCTTTCTCAAGAAGTTTTTCGCTGGCCAACTTGAAGCCGCTCATATCGTTATACCCCAATCACAGGAGGGCTAAGCGCCAAAGAGCATCTTGTTCCGGAGTAGCTTCGTATGTGTCTCCATCATCAGGAACAAACCGCGCGCGACCATGTGTGAAGTCGAGCTTTCCATCTGCGTCCACTGCGGGAAAGTGTTTGCGGCCAAGATGAAGTACTGCGACCCTGTCAAAGGCAAGCTGCTGGTCGTCAACAGCACGCCATTCGAAATCAGCTCGTCGTTCAATTGGTCCCCGATGGAAGGGTGCGACGGTCTGCAGATTCATCCCACCGCCATCCTCGACGCCTGCAGGAGTGACATGGCCGGACCCGAGGTGCCCTTCGACCGACCAGCAGCGGCGAGGCCGAGTGTCAGGAGCCCGTATCCGACCCCAATGGCGCCCCAGCGGACGGACATGCCAGAGGAGCTTCCACAGGCTGCGGGAGTGGAGGAGCGTCGCCAGGGGGTGGCCATGACGCCGCTGGGCTCAGATGTGCAACTGCAGCTGCAAATGCAAATCCAGACGCAGACGGAACCACCGACTGGAGACACGCCGGCGGTTGGGTCGCCGACATCCTCGTGGTCAGGGTCGACCGTGTCATATTATTGACTCATGGGACATGGGCCACGAGCCGAGGGCTGCATGTCAGCCAATTTCTCTCTCTCTCCTTGCGCTTTTCATCGTCCTCTTTCATTTAACCAACTGTTTGATATGCGGCATATCAGGCCTTGGTCCAATTCGTCGCCATGAGGTCGTTTGATCCATCAAGCGACCCAAACTTTGCATTACGACACATATACGTGCTCGGTTGTGGAAAGACAAAGTGCCAGTCGAGAAGACTCAGTGGTGGGATGATGTTCTTCTGAAGGAACTGAAAGAAGGACTGAGTGCTGGAGCAGCCTGATAGGATTCTCAGTCTTACCTTGACAACCAAGGGGTTCGGCGGCAGTCCATCCACGGTAAGCACTGGTGCCGAAGGGGATGGAGGACAATGTCATCTGAGGGGACGGGACAAGGAGGGGAGTGAGATCGGAGTAGAACGAAGCTCCTTTGGCTACATGACGTGTATCCTGGCGATGTGCGTTCCTGCCGTTTTACAGTGTGACCGGACGGCCGTCGGACCAGCCGGCTCAACGGCTATGCTAGCAAGCGAACTGTCGTCTGGGGCAATGACATTCTGTTCCCGGCCCTATTGACATGCTGTTGGCTGTTGAGCTGTTGGTTGGGCGACGTGCTTGCTTGAACGAGAAGGGGGGGAGGGGCTGCCTTGTCAACGCCGGCCGCTGCTTGAACGGGATGCCGGTGGTGAAGGAATGTAATGGTACTTTACAAACTTCATAGAGGGCTTTCATGACCATTTGACCGCCCTCCCGTATGCAAAGCCTGTTTTTCTTGTCACGTATGAACTGAGGGTGTCCTATGCATGACCACCGATAGTAAGATGTCCCATAGTGTTGTCCCGTTTTGAATAAAGAACCGCTATAGTTGTTCCGTGCCGTAAGAAATGCTCCGGCGACGCGAAAGACGGATGATCCGAATCTGTAGACCTTTCGCTAAGAATTTCGGCTGCGAGGCTCTGGTCGAACTTAGGCCGGGGAGATGTTGCTGAGCCTCTTCCGGGACCTCATTGTCCGCCTATCAATGACGAAAAGGGGTTCGAAGGGTTGTGACATCTGAGCATTCTTGTCGTGTCGAGCTTGTCCGTTGTTAGCAGAACCGCATAGCTTTGCAGGATGTAGCTGGGTTTGCCACCAATTACCTGGTCTCGGCCGACATCGATGACTTGTGTGAAGTATAATATGGACGTTCCACAATCCCCGGCCCCGCGGCCTCTTGTTCTGGACTACCGACTCCCCAGCTGCGTGGAAATACTAGACTCGTAACGGGCGTAACGGGTGTGCTCCATACAAGATGACGGCGGGTTACTACCTTGGTGTCTGATTCTCTCCTTCAAGCTCTGGACATCATCACCCAAAGCCGTAACATGCGCCGAAGGGCACTCATCTGCGAATGGTAGTGTAGTGTAGTGTAGTGATATGATCCGCTGGCTAGTAGTAGTTGTAAGTATACAACTAGTAAACGGACGTCGTTGCGGTCGCTCCGCACGTGCATATGGCATACAGGATGTCACCTACACAACATATACTGTAGTATCCATGTCGACAGGCCGCCTACAGGGGGCAAGTCTAGCGTGGATATGTCGGAGTTTTTAGATTGCATACCCTGAGAAACAACACTCACTGCTGCGTCTTATGACCGATCGAGTCGGCCGCCATCTCGGGCGGTATGCACGAGTGACTTTAGTCTCGTGCGTTGGGCCACGAATCGGCTGTTTGGGCGATGCAGCTCGTTTTGCATAGCGCGAGCGGTGCGGCCTGGGGGGAGTGGAGAGGGGCCGGGAAAAGATCTTGAAGATCTTTGAGCCAGACAGGCCCTTGCGATCCCTTGCCCTTTGTTTTCGACGCTTGTTGCTTTTTTTATGCCTATTCCTTCTCTCGTGTCCTCTTTCATGTCCCGGGGCGTCGGATGCGGTTGTGTGGCAAGCCTCATTTCCGTGTCGTCCGCCGAGCGTATACTTTCCTTGTTCTGGAGCAATGTGTAGCCGCATATGTAATGCCGTGCAGTTGAATGGGCGTTGTGAATATCCGGCAAGCACCTGTATGCTTCGTCTGTGACAAGAGTATTCCATCAGCCAGAGGAAGGACGAGCAGCAAAGAGTCTGCATCGCGTAAGGGAGGATGAGGCAACGCGGCGATGCGACGGAACCGGTAGCGATAGTACTACTGGTGGCACCCAGTATTGCCGGCCTGCTGTCCCTCTCGCGTTGTTCTTTTCTTCTGCTTCTTCCCGGCTCTCTTTTGCCCGTTGGGCGTCAATCTGCAGAGCCACGTAGTCGTAGTGTGACCACGAGACGATACCCTGAAGGGATCCACGAGAGCTGATGGGACAATGGTTGTAGACAGTTCCAAATCCGAAATCCGATGGATCAAATGCAGGAAACAGGTGCATGCAATCTCCAGCGACCCTGATAGCTTCGGCAGCGGCCGCCCGAACAAGTCGAGCCACCACGCTGAGCTCAATTACAGTGACGGCCACAGGCGTGACCGTTTCGGCGGGGGAGAGCTTCATGGTCGGCTTGAGAAGCCGTTGGGCCAGGGGTTGAGGTTCATTTGGCGACAAGTGGTGATTGTTGTAAATTGACTCCGTCACGATAGGAGTCTCTTCGATTGATGTTCCCGTCATCAAATGCTCCCCGTTTGGGGAGCACCTTCCCGGTGGTAAGTAATTAGGTACCTGATCATCATATTACCACTGCTCGTGATTCGCCGCAAGGGCAGGTCCCACCCGAGCACTTGTATTCAGCAGCATGCCGTGTCATGCAGTGGGAAGTTGCGCCCATCTTGGCCATTGCCGTCTGTGTCAAGGTCGGTCTTGCCCCCCCGTAGGCCGATGCGTGACTCGACGACAGCAGGCAAGACACAGCGGGAGTACATGTGATACCAGCGGCACTTGGCACACGCACATTGTATCTCCATCCAGTCCTCTCCGTTGCTCAGACTTGTCAACTTCAAAAGTTATCATCACCATCATCAGCATGAGCAACTGCATCTTGATGTGCCTCCATCCACAAGACGGTTCGTGTTCGGCCATCAGCACCGAGACTTGCGCGCATTGGCCCAACTGCACGGCTACGGGTACACATACATACGTTTGAGGCAAGCTCTGGAATGTTTACTCTAGTCTTGCTATCCCCTACACGCCTCAACTTGCTTTTGGAATTCATCTAATGCGATGCTCCATACCTATCTACCGTCAAGCCTTTTACGCCGACCGCTGCCGCCGAGGGTTCGACTACTACTGTACACCGACGACTAGATGGCATCTTCTGTGCTGCTCTGCTCGAACTACAGTAATCCTGTACTAGTACTAGTAGCCGCATCACCAGACCCAACAATGAACAATGAGATGGCTCCAGCGGCTCACCAGGGTGGGCTTCCGACCCGTTGGGCGTGTGGGCCGCAGCATAAAAGCCGACTAGGGGGGATGGAGGGGGGTCGATCGTGAGCCTTCAGCAGTGACGACGACGCATGCGAGGGCAGAGGAGATGGATGGCTCCATGGCTCTCGGCCCCGACGTCTTTCCTGGTGTTGCCGGCAGTGCGTTTCACGGTTTGTGGAGCCATCCGCTGTCTCTGGCGCATCTTGGTCCGCTGCCTCAACGCCGACGGAAGCAGCTTCCAGTGCAACCACAGCAGCCAATGGCGCTCAAACCCGCCCGGCCCGCTGTCCGATCGCCGACACGGCGTTTGCGGTCAGCCGCACCGACAGGCGGCGATAAGGCGCTCGTCCATCTCAATCTCGTCCATCTCATACCATGCCGGTCCCTTGTCTGATCTGGCGTCTGCTGGCGGCTGCTGGCAATTGGTGCGGCCGATGGCGCGCAAAAAAGCAAAGCCCTGGTGTGTCTCGTCTCGCAAGAGTAGACCCGTTACGGCCTCTCCATCTTTCCTTCTCCCTCGCTGTCTCTCGCAACCTGGACATGCTCCTTGTTACATACATACACTGCATGTATTACTACTTCATATGCCGGTTCCAGTCATTGGATTGCGGAATACCCCACGACGGCTGATCTTGTCCTTGACTGCGGCGCCTTGGCCCAGTCAACCGAATTTGCCTACATTTGATGGCGGTCTGATGCCGTAGCTGGGCCCCTGGCTATTAATCAACTCATCATAGTCTGTACGAAACACCAGCTCCATCTTCGAGCTTTAGCCGTGGCTTCAAAACATCCCTCGCCCACCCACTGACACTCCTGCTTCGCTCATACATCACCAGCACTCAAGATTGACTGAGACTGGGTTCCTAAAGCGCCCTTTTAGTTTCTTCCACCACAAGAGACTTGCTTCCTGGACAAAACGACACCGCTCATCCGCATCACCACCTGCAACCATCCGTCTCAGACACAGACAGTTTGTAACCGTCGCCCTCGCCCTCGGAAGTTCGCGCTGCTGTAGAGGCGTGTTGCGACATCAATCGTGTACGATACACACGGGCAACCGAATTGCCAGGTTGCACTTGTATGTATGTTGGTTCTTCTTCCCGCGCAGACCCATCTCACCCCAAACCGGCACCATCGTTCCAATGTCCTGCTTGTCCCTGCTCCGGTCATGCATCTCCTAACATCGTTCTCGCACTTTCTCTGCAATATCGATGCCCATGTACAGTGTTGCCATCACATGGTGTCCGCTGCCCACCCTCCGTGTACCTCCATGGTAGGAGGAAAAAGCCCTGTCAGCAATGAGATCTTTGTTGTTCAAAATCCTTTTGTCACTATATATCCCGTCTTCTTCCCAGTCCCCCTTCACATACAAGCAATAGTGGCATATGCGAAGCACTCAGTACCGCCTCCCTCCTTCTTATGTATATTGCGTAGTGGGAAGCACATATACACTGCCTACTATCTGAGTTCGAGGGCCGGGGTATTTCGAAGCATATGTTTCATGGGAAGCGAATTTCTTATGCCTACTACTGGAATTGATGCCTCTTGCCAACCCTTTCACTATTATGGGTACGGGTTCGGGGTTACATAGGACATGAAGCTTGGACTTGGTTGTCTAATGTGCTTGATAGATCCCGGTCGCTCACAGTCACCCTCCCGGCCTAGAAAACAGACGTACAACAACTTCGGCACACGTCCACTCAAGTCAAGCATGGAGTCAGACTCTGGTGCCTGCCACATGGCCTCACAATTCCTACAGATATTCAAGGAATCAGGCCTCCAAAGGCAGCTGGAGGACGGCTGGGGGCAGAGGTACACTGGCGTCAGAGATCCAGGCTCTGCATCAGTACACGATGAGGGGGTCAACCACGGCTGCCAGTTTGATCCAAAGTCCTTGCGAAGTTCCAAGGCTCCCTCCCCATCAGGTCCTCGGAAGCACCGTGAGGAGGCAGATACCAGAAGCCGCAAGTCCAAGAGATCCAGGAACGGCGACGTCAAAGAGGAAACCGAGGAGGAAGACGACATAGAGGTAGTTCCGGTCGTTCAGCAAGGATCAAGCAGGCCGTACTCTCCAGTCCATGATTGCCAACCGACAATTTCCAGGGACGACCATGCTACCTCCAACTATAAGGCGAACAGGGACGTTTATGGAGGCCGAGGCTATCTGAGCCATCTGGACACGGAGCTGGACGCTCTCAGAAAGCACTTACTTCAGCGTGCCAATCCTCCCAGGCCTTATCCTTGAGTACTGCTCTGGCCGCATTTGACGACTTGGAGTGTGGATTTGGGGAAGGAAGGATTGCCCATCGAGGGCAGTTACTCTCACTTCATACAGGCATTGATCACAGCAAAGGCTTTGTATTCAGACGTACAACGTGCTTGGCGCTGAGGAGTTTTGGATTTGGATTGGGTATCATTCTTGGCGGGCGAGACGGAATCACGATCTACCTGCTACAACAAGGGGCGTACAACGATGGAGCTGACTGCACACGGGCTATCAGGGCAATCAAGAAGGGCAGTGGTGGCAGTCTTTTTTTTTTTGTGTGTGATCTAGTACTTTATCGTTCCAATATAGTTTTCAGTCTTAATCCACTTGTCACTTTCTCCCTGATTGTCACATAGCAGCTCCATGGGACGGGATTTCGTCATTGGCGATGGACAAGCGAATCAAATTACCGATCCAGCGCAAAAAGCTTCTTGATCGGGGTTGCTCGCCGGGTTGACGTTGACATCGGCCGAAAGGACGTGGGCATGAGTCGGCCGCTCGCTGTGCCCGAGGATCGAGGGTGGCGGTACGACGCTCCCCCTCCCTGCAGGGCGAGTGAGTTGCGTACACGCGACAAGACAGACAGAAGCAGGACGACTATCTCTCGGCCGAATGCCCAAGTGCGGGCACAGGTGAAGCACGAATTAGGCAACTTTACTATTACCTGAACGCAACCGTCCTCCGAGACCAATCGCGCACTGAAGCTGCCGAGGTGGAGACGTTCTTTGTTCTTTTTCATATTTTCTGCTCCTGGTGATTCGGAGTCTGTACGGAGTACACCCCACAAGCATCTTGAATGTTAAATCAGTACTTTTGCCACTGACCCAATTGTTGATTGGCTGTGAAAGCAGGTAGCTTCCCTAGTGATTTGCGTCTGACGATACCTCATCGCATACTTGCCACAACAACAGGACCGGCATCGTAGGCTTTCAAACCTTCTGCCACTACCTAGGTACTATTTATCAATATATACCACCTTTCTTGCTCTTCTAGGCCCCTTCTTCCATAAGGCGGAGGAGAATATAGGCTTCTAGCTAAGTAAGAAACAGCAGGAAAAGGAGAAAACAGTAGGAGATAAGGAATCAGTACCAGTACTGCTATGCATAGCCTTTTTTACCAGTGCCGATCGGTATCTATACCTAGACATTATCTGGCTAATGAAATAACGTGCTGGCCCATGTACTCATTTAACGTTCAAGATGCTTGTAGGGTGTACTTGTCTTATTTATAGTAGTTGTGCCTCCATACCAGATATCTGCCCCTCCTAGGGATGCTCGATTGGGTGCTACTTGTACCTGTTGGCTCCACCCTTCGTGACTAACTATTAGGCCGTCGCCTTCTAGTTGGTATGGAAATGTCTAGAACGCACTAAAAATCAGGACACCTCTTACACTATATAAATTAGTAGCTATTCTAGGTCACTTTCTTCTTATTTAGATTATAAAAAAATAATAAAAAAACATATTAAATTAATCCCTATAAATTCCTTATCCTTTTAAAGTTATCTAGTATTATTATAATCCTGTTATATAGTGTTTTTAGCAGCAAGTTTAGTTTAGGTAATAGGGGCAAGGTTAGTAATAATAGCAGGCTTATAGCCTTATTATTACTGCTATTAAAAATAGCAGTAATATTAGTAAGGGTATCTTATATTATATTCTATATTTCTTTTTATATAGCCTCCTCTTAATATTCCTAATAATCTTTATTATTATCTTTATTATTAAAGGGCCCTAGCCTAATATTAATTAAACTATTTATTACTGCTTCTTAAAAACAGTTAAATATCTGCTTTAGGATATATAGCTTTATTAAGGCATGCTATATAACTTCCTTAGTATATTAGGACTGTTATTTTATAGCCTAAGAAATACAGGCCAGGGAGGTAATAACTAATAAGGAATAATAAGGCTAATTAAGCTAGGAATAGTAATAGTAATATATAAAAAGGGAGATGCTTTTTAACCTAAGTAGTAAAATTAAGTAAGTTAGTTTTTAAAATATAAGCCCCTAAAATGCTTAACTAAGCTAGAATAGCTTAGTCTTTATATAATTAAATAATATCTTAACTTATTTATATATAGCAGTCTTAATAGTTTATTAAGAAATAAATTCTTTATAAAACAGTTTAGCTAAGAAAAGGTAGTATTTAAAAGTATATAATTTAATTATTAATAAAATAATAACTAAAATAAAAAGATATTTTATATTATTATTTAATTTATAAAAAATAAAGCTAGTTATTAAGGATTCTAGCTTAAAAAACTATAGGTTATATAAAAATAGTTATTATTTAATTATTATATACTTATAAGGCTAATAAAATAACTTAATATATTATAAAAGGTATTACTTTAAGATTATAAATAAAGTAAGATTTAATAATAAAAATATTAAAATATATATAACTTAATTATAACTTATAAAATATAAAAATAAGGAATTAATTAATTTAATTACTTTTATAAAATTAAAAGATAATATAAAAGCACTTTTTAGCTATTATTAAAATCTTTAACCTTTAGCTTTATAAGAAATTATATTATTAAAATTATAAGCTAAACTTTTAGTATCCCTTCTTTTAAAAAATAAAAAGAGGGGGAAAAAAGTAAATAGCTTATAAAGGCTAATTTATTTAATTAAATAAATAGGTATATAAAAAATAATAGTTTAAGCTATTAAACTATAATAAAACCTAATATAAAAAGAATTAAAAAAGCTATATAAAAGTAACTTTAGCTAATAAAAGTTAATAAAAATTAATATAAGAAAAATTTTAGTAGAATTTTTATTTTATAAAAAATAGCCTTAATAATATATACTAATATATAAAAACTATAAGTTATAAAAGGCAGAATAAGTTAAGATTAAAATAGTAAAATAATAAGTAAAACCTTATTTATTAAAGATTATTTAATAATAAAAATTAAATAGTCTTAACTTTAAGAATTTAAAAAATAAAATATACTAAGTAAAAAGGTTATAAAAAACTTTTTAAACTTAACTACTTAATAATAACTTTTAAGCTAATAAAAAAGAATTAATAAACTATATATTAATAATATAATTAATAGCACCTTTATATAAGTTAACTATTTAATTTATATAATAAGCTATTAAGAGTTAGCTAAGTTTTAATTTTTAAGGTTATTAATACTATTACCTTATACTTAAAAACTTATTAAGTTTAATATACTTACTACCTTAATATTTAAAAGAATTACTTAAAATAATTTTAAAAAGAAAAACCTTAATATGCCTTTAATAATAAATAAGCTAAATAAAATAATAAATATTATTAATACCTAAAGATTAATTAATTTTATAATATAAAATTATAATATAATACTTAATTAAAGCTATAGTACTTTAAGAAGCTTAAATACCTTTTTTATATTTATAACTTATAAAAAAATATATATATTACTATACTAATTAAGTAAGTAATATACTAATAAAAGTATTAATTAACCCTTATATTATTTTATATTTAAAAATAACTTTAACTTATTACTATTTTTAACTTTATTAAGTAATAGCTTAATTAAACTAAATATCTAGGATTAATTAATTAAGGAAGGAATTATAATATTATTATTAAGGAATAAATATATAAAAAAGGCAGATAAATAAGGCTGGACCAGCATCC